CACTCCCGGGCTGGCCTCAGCCCGCCGCTGCCCCTCGTAACGCTGCGATCCGCCGCCGGCACTTCCGCCAAGGTAGGTGGGGAGGGAAGGAAGACCCCGTGAGGTACTGCGCTGTGTGAGAGGGCAGCGCGGCCTCAGGGCCCGCCTCTGGAGGGAGATGCCTTGGTGAGGAGCGGATCGTAGCTTTGATTAAAGCACAAGTTGTCCTGGCCTGGGCGTGTTTTCCAGCTTTTGGGGGTGGTTTCAAGATTAGGGGTTCAGCTGGCCTGCACCGCCCCAGTGGGGGGTTGCCTGGGGGCTGCAGAGTTTGAGCACTTCAGGTGAGTCATGAAGAATGAAAAAAGGGGCTTTCAGTAATTCACGCAGACACAGGGAAGCCCGGGTGTTTCTGGTGGCGGTGGCTGAAAGGGTTTTCTAAAAGTGCCGTGGTTTTCAGCACCTGAAATGGCAGCGGGTGGCATGCTGGCGGCATGCCTGCAGAGGGGTCCCCCGCTTGACTCTGCGCCTTTTCGTTAGCTAAGAGAGAAAATACGAACGTGCACCCGGTTAATTATGTGTTTCACCGTGCTTTCAACATTCGGTTCATTTTTTGGAGATAGGAAGAAAGAATTTGTACCATTCATTGTTTCCGTTTTAAATTTGAATTGGCTCCGGGAGAAAAGCAGATGAAGGCCTTACACATAAGTGTTTTTTACACTGCAGTAGATTATTAAATCATGTTTATGTTGGGTTTCCGTAGGAGATAGGGACCTGCTTTACACTTGCTTGTGCCAAGATTGTGAATGTGAGCTTTCCATACCAAGCCTTATTTACAGTTTAATTTCTACAGCTTAATTTTCAGGTTAATTTTTGTAGCCTCATTACAAAGCATAACGTGATGTTTCAGATTTGTTTTCATGCCTTAGTTCGTCCAGAAGCTGAATCTTTGTCTAAACGATGGGAATAAAATTGGTTCTCTAGCAGAAATATTGTAGCAGAATTATATGGAAAATAGGAAGTTTTCTTTGCTAAGTTGTACGTTATTCACGTTATTTGTACTGGGTAGTCCAAATAATACCTGTTGAAGTGGTACTTTTTTTAACATCTTGCCTCAATACCATTCAGAAATTACCGGGTATGTGAGCCTGAGAGCATGAGTGAATTGAAATGTACTTGGATGATGAAAACAAGCTAATTTTTCAGTCCTTATGATCCACCTTGCAAGCATGGCTATAAGACCCAGAGTTCCTCTGAGGCTTATTTATCTCTGTAGGTTGTCAGCTTCTGCTTTCATGGCAGCTATCTGAAGAAAATCTTCATGTTTGGCTCCTTAAATAGACAATGATCATCTTTGTCTGGATGAAAAATTCACTATAAGCTATTAAATCTTAAAATGCTATTCAAACCACACTTGGCTTTTAAGAAAATCATACTGTTGAATAAATGAGTATTCTTGACTAAGCATATGATGTTGATTGAATTGTTAGGACAGCTTTTGGCAGAAGGTATTATGAGACTGTTTTGTTCAGTTTATTCGACTAGTTCCATTCAATAACTCAGTATTTAAATTTCACAGACTAGGAGTTAAAACAGCATTCTTCCCTCCTCTCCTCCCGCCCCCTCTTTCCTATAATAAAACTGAGTAAGAAAATGAGTTTTGACACATGGTGAAGTAGCAGCCATGTAGTACAGCCATGTGTGGAATCTAATTACTTCCAGTGGCTGAAAGTAATTAGATTATCTAACTATGAATCCATTCTTTTGCTTAATGAACTTGCTTCAAAAATATATATTTGAACATTTTTTCCTCATTTACTCTCTAGTATTAAAACTGCTTGGTTTAAGCAATAAAAGATTTCTTTTTCTACTGGGCATTTTTCTTTCTTAGACAAGTTTCAGTTTCTATTCAAATACTGCTTTGGCTCATGAGCCAAAAAAAAAAAAAAAATCTAACATTATCTGTTATGTTTGAAAATTTTAAAAATACGAGAATCAGAATAAGTTGAGCTACACAATTCCCTAAATGTTTATGGATCAGCATGATTTGCTGTCAAAATGAAATACAAAGTAACACAACTTATGATTAAAAAGAGAAAAACAGCAGCAACATAGTGGTTTTTTGGGTTTTGGGGGAGTGGTGTGGTTGGTATGGTTGAACTCACTGATTAAAGTAAGTTCATCCTACCATGAGTGTTGTAAGAGGGGCCTGTCTTGTATCCTAATTTACAACCTTGCCAAGTCCAAGGATTAATCAAAAGTATTTTTCTTCTAATTTGTGTGCCTTGAAACCGATCTACAGTGGGATGAAGTGGTGCCAGGCACTCAGCAGCTGTACCTATCCTGTGTCCAGTGGCCTTTAGTCTGGCTGTCATATTGTCATGACTGCTGCTGAATTCAGCTGAAAAGAAAGGACTCTTCTAATCTTTCCTGACAACCACTCACTAATTAGAGAAAAATCTTGAAGTCTTTGTGGAAACATTTTCTTTCTTGAGTTAGTGTTTCTTCTATGGCAAGTATGAGGAGGTATCCAAGGGCTGTCTTATCACTAGCAGTGTATATGCCCTTCTTTGCCTGCATTGCACTATCAAATTGCTTTGGGGTATATTTTAGTATGAAGTTCTGCACTTTAAATTTACCCAGATAAAAAGCTGTCAATAAATTTTACTATGACAAACATTTTCAGTGAAGTTAGGCTATTTACACCAGCACTGGCATGTCTGTGTAGCTATTGTCTACACCATGGCAACAATATTGCTCGTTGCTGTCAACAGTAGCAGTTCTCCGGTTCTTCCTTTTTTCAGCTGATCTATGGAGGGTGATATATGGCAACTTAAATGTTGGACCTCTTCTATCAGTAGGTTGTTAGTAAGGCATCATCAGCCTGGTATCATGTAGGCTTCCAGTGCCATCAGCTGCTTAGCCCTGGAACAAAAAGCTACGTTACAAGAATTAACTGTATAAAGCTGAGCAGTGGGTATAAGCAAAGATCTCTTTGGCACCTCAGTCTCATCTCTCAAGCGACTGTGTGGGTGTGCCTTGGCACACATTTGGATCAAATGGAAGACTGGGACTATAATAACTATTTTTAATTATGAAACTTGCGTTGTGTAAGAACTTGCACCAAGCTCAGTGCATCCCTTTGGTATGAATTGATATGAGTAGCTGGGAAAAGGGAGCTTGCATGGGCTTTGCCACAGGCATCTGCTATACTGATGTGAAAGAGCAAAAGTGTGTTACTGTCTTTCCTAAAGCATTCTGAACAGCACCGTATGCAAGCCACTTCGTTCATTATTTCAAATTGGTTCAACTGACTAGAATATGATATTGTGCTTAATGCTAATAAATACTTTTAATTGTTTTCTTTTTAGGATGCAGGTATATCCCCTGAAAAAGCAGCCACAGATCCCAGTGGTGAAAACAAGAAACTCAACAAATCCCAGCAACTGAAACAAGTTTTTAAAGAATATGGTGCTGTAGGGGTTTCATTCCATGTTGGAATTTCATTAGTATCTCTAGGAATCTTCTACCTGGCTGTGTCAAGGTGAGGTTTGTACAGTTGTCTGTGGCGTCTAGGTAATGGTTTAGCCAAGAAAAATATCTTAGCTTTGTGCTTAATTCTGGAAGGAGACATTTACTCTATGCCTGTTTGATCTACACACAGTAATTTTCTGAATTTTGAGTATAGATGGATCCATAAATGGATCTAATCTCCCATCAGGCATGAGACAAGATAGATGTACATCGTCTTTTTGCATAAGTTCACGGTCCATGGTGGGCAGGTGAAAACAGCAGAGTAGAGACTGCACTAGAGTAACTAGCCAGATGAGAGAATTTATTTTTGTTCTGCGGAGATATCTTTTGTTCTCAAACAGTAATATGGTCTCTACAGATAGAGCTATACAAAAGTGCTGGAGCTTAGAGATAAATGTATTTTTCTGGGTATCGGGCTCAGTTTCTGCAGTTGAAACTGCAGAAGGCAACGGCCACTAAAACAGGATTAGATTAAAAAACAAAATACTAGATAATCATATAGGAGTCAGGTGGGAAATTGTGTATGTGGCTTCTGGTGAGAATGCATCAGTTATAGGTATGTCTGTTGAGTATGAGGTATTTCAACTGAGGAAATAGGGAAACGCATTGTTTCTCAAAACATTCCCTGCCACTTAACTCTTGACTTCAATGGGAATATGTGAATATCTGATTTCTCTCGTTTACTACATCATGGCACAGAGTGACAATGAAAATTTTTTCCTTCAGGTATGATTTAACTCCCAGTTACAAGATACTATATTGGCAAGTGAAGGGGGAGAAGTTACAGTAACAACTTCTTTTGGAAAATTACTCCAAACATAGGAATCTTGATGAAAGCTGCTATGTCTATAGAGAATTAAAATATTAATGGATTTGGTGGATAATGCTAGATTTTAGATAAGATACTTGTCATTTTAACAGCTTTGTACTCCTCTATTGGAACACTAAGCCTAACAAAAGGTACCTTATTCGGTTTGGGTTGATCTATATTTGTGTGATAAATTTCATCAAGACACAGAACAGACTTTATTGTAAATTTGGGCAAGATGAATTTCCAACTTTTTTTAAAATTCAGAAGTAGATTATTTTATCAGAAGGTTGAGCGTGCGGCTGAGTATTCTCCATGCACATGCTGCAGCTATACAGTTGTAAAAATAAGAACATACTTGACTTCACAGGGAACTTGTCAATTTAAGAAAAAAAATGTGCATTTGAAAATATTGCATGTGTTGTTGCTAGAGAAGTAACTTGAGCTGTTACTGCTGAAATAATTGGTTTTATTATTTAACAACATCTAGGTTAAACATAAATTCCAGAGTTGGAAGTATGCCGTGTTAAATTCCCTGAAAAAGTAGCACTTTTAATTTATATTCTTTAGCATGCAACCTTAAAATAAACTAAAAAATCTTGTTTTCTTTTTCCCCAGTGGTGTGGATATGACTGCAGTTCTCTTCAAACTTGGTTTCAGTGAATCATCGTTGCAATCTAAAATGGCTGCTGGTACAAGCACATTTGTATTGGCATATGCTATTCATAAATTGTTTGCTCCAGTAAGAATCAGCATTACTATAGTTTCTGTGCCATTTATTGTCCGATACTGCCGGAAGATTGGTTTTTTCAAACCTCCTGCCCCAAATCCATGATTATTTCTTACTGGTTTTTACTCTGTTCTTTAAATGCTCTCTATCCATGTAGCTTTTCAGATTGCTAAATTTCTTTAGAAGACTTATTTGGATTTATGTTAATGCTGACCTCCTCTTGCATTTCTTACTTGTTCTTTCAGGTAAATGTTACACTGTGAAAAGTGCTGTCCTTATTTTCTTTCCCTTTTGCCACCTCTTCTTTAGAAAAACCTGTTAAAGTGGTATCTGGTTTCCACTACAAGTGGCAATATAAATGCTTGACAATGAGCAGTCTCTTTAGAACATACAGTTCTGGGTCTTTATAATCTAGCTTTTTGGGCCTTTATTTTTTTCTTGTCAAAAAAGAGTGGCAGCATTAGTTTATTACTGTGTAGTTGGGAAACAGAGTAAGAGTCTCTTCCTAATAGTCTGTGGAATAAACAATATCTTGCTGTATGAATAGTACTTTTGGTAAGTGTACATATTGGAATCTAAGGTGGTAGATGGGTGTTTCTTTTGTTAGAAAAGGCATATATTATGACCCCAATCTTGCAATACAACACACATGCTGAACTAACTTAAGCGGGAGTGCCCGTATGCTTAATTATTGCACAGTGATAATTGTTTTAGCTAGAATAGGTGATGCACTGTTCTGAACTACAGGTCCTTTGTGGTGCTTCCATGTTTCAAGATTTTATTGTTTGAAAATGTGCTTTATTTGTAGGCTAGGAACGGGCCTTACTAAAGTCCTTTTTTTTTTAAATTTTTTTTTTAATGCCTATAGACTCAGAAGGAATCCTGAGTCTGCTGAAACCAGTGTAAAAAGAATTACCTCCTATGTGAATATGTTCCAAAGATCATCAAGTCAGAGACAAGGTATCTGTGGGTTTTTAATTATTGAGATCTGGCTTTGTGCTGGAGACACATCTTTATTTGAAAACTAACCCTAGCAGCTTTCTGCTCCTGTGGATGAAACTCAGATCTGCACCTGAAGTCCAGACATTACAATTCATAGCTTCTCAAGAGCAATTCCTGTGCTTTTGTCTGACAGACTGTTGAATGTACCAATTAGAGGTGCTTTTCGTTTCCTTATTTGGACACTTCCTATTAGAATGTGGTTGCACATACCACCTTCCAGTTAACGTAAAGACTAGGTCCCAAAACTAGCTAGTCAACGTAACGCTCTGTGGTAAACCTGGGTTTCAGATTTAGGACTGTGCTTCTGTGAGATAGCTCGAGCCAGATCTATCAGTCTTTTGGACCTATTCCTCCTTTCAGGTCTGCTTTTTTTACATTGTCTTTCTCTGTCTTTGTGCTTACACTTACCCCAAGGTGGCTCTGACACAGATCTGTTCATATAGGAATCTGATTAAAGTAAAATAGCAGGAAATTATCCTGGTGATCAGAGTAATTTTTTTTTTTTTTTTTTTTTGCTGAAGTATAGTGAATTGAGAGGAAGGTTAGGATGAGTCTTGGCTGAGGGAGGGAAGGAGGAGCAAGTAATTTCTTTTTGTTATGAGCAACCTATTAACTCCATTCAGCCATAACATTAGATTGCACCCTAAGTCCTTTCCTACTCAGAAAGTCCAACCCATAGGGTGGTCAGATGCTCTGAGGATCCTCAGGCTCACAAGTGAGCAAGCAGAGTTTGTGCTCTAGGAAGATGAATTACAGCCACATATATCTTTGTACCTCTGTATTATTGCTATCCCTTGGTTCATCAGAGGTTTTCTCTAAGACAGGGAAAACTGGAAGAGATGTAGTTTACTTCCTCTGCCCTGTGGAAGCAAGCTGATACTAGATACTGCCACCTCAAAACAAAGAACCCCTTGACAAGGGCTTGGTCTCAGTGGGGGCTGTGCTGTTAGCCCAAACTGGGGTTTAGTGTCTTAAGACAGGAACAGTTGCAGCAGTGAGCAGGTACACATGCTAGAGGCTTGTTGTAATACAAACATAGCCATACATGGCATATATGTAAAGATGCATTAAGCAGTTAAACACTGCTCAAAATACCAGCCTTAGGAACAGGACATACTCAGAATCAGCCTTGTGGTGTCGGATGCTTCCATGGGAGCTGTAAGGTGTGTCACTGACAGAGCTTATGTCATGCACAGCTGCTTGGCTTGCTTGTTAAATGTGGAGCCAATGCTCTGCTGCTTCATGTACCCATGTGTGCAGGAGAAAGGGCTGTCAAGTTCATTTTGACTAGCTGCTTATTCAAAAAAAACAAAAGGACTGGATTTTTCCTGTTTTGTGCCTGCTTTGCAGTGTGGCTGCTGAAGGTGGCAGCTTGTCCAGGATACTAGCTTCAGCTTGCTGCTATCTGAGCCAGCTCTACTTAGAGCATAAGTTTCAAATCAGTTTGTCCCTCAAGGAAGCTCTACCTTTACCCTTGACTAATCTGTGTGATTATTATACCTGTTATGGGGATGGAAACTTATTGTTGAGTATTTGATAGTGCAGTTTTTACATATCTATACAGCAGTTGAAGGGTTACCATGGTATGACAACATGCAACCAACACTACTATAGCTTTCTATGACCTACTACATTCTAAAACAGCTAAAGCCTTTTAAATTTCAAGTGGGTAGTCAGTCTTCCTTAAAAGAGTAAGTTTTACTTGGGCTTATTTTCTTTCCTGTTCACAAAAGTCTTTGTGTTGTTTTTTGTCTTACATGCCCTCTCTCTTTGTATCAGTTTAGGGCAGTGTTCTGTTACCAAGGATAACAAAGGAATTCCAGAATAATCACAAGGCATCCTTGTTTTTTTCATTTAATCATGTCATTTGTGATAAGTATGTTTTGTCCTAAGTTGATAGAAAAGGAATATTCAATCTTTTTCAAAAAAACCTTTCTGTAAAGCAGGAATCACTTAAAGCAAATACACTTAAGTTATTAAAAGTCACCAGCACTAATGAGAGATTTTCTTGCAGTAAAGAAACAGCTTCATTTAAATTATGACCAGAATTTAGATTACTTATTAAGAAAAATATGGTTGTATAAACTACTGGCAATTTGTTTAGATGAAGTTTTTTGCAAAGTGTATTTTAAATTAATTTGAGAATATATTTTGAATTCTAGAATCCTTGCTTGTAAAAGGATCATTTTTTAAAATGGTTTGTAAAATAGTGAAGATGACCTTAAAGTCTTATAATGCAATTACAATAAATGTCTTCCTCTTGGTTTGCTTGAAGTGTCTTACTGGAAAATAGTTGGTTTGTATGTTTTCTTGGCAAGCGATGAGTGGCCTGACCCTTGCTACATTTTAGGGAATAATGTCTTACAACATCAGATGTTAATATTTGTTCCTGTTACATATCCTGTTTAATAGCAATACTTTCTATACCTTTCTCCCCAAAGTGCTTTCAGACCCTGTTGTCTTTGGATAACAGCATTAAAAAAAAAAGGAAGAAGCAGGCCTAGGTTTCAATAGTTGTGGAAAACCCACAAAGTAAGTAGCAACACATACTTACCTTTTAATCCTGTGTTGTGACTGTAGAATAGTAAGTGACCACATCTACTTTGTACTAGCACTTTGAGCAAGAACTTTATATCAGCTTCAATTTTGACACAGGTGGGCAGTAAACTTATTCTGTGATCATAGATGAGGAGTCAAGCTGTACTGATGGTAAAGACAAGTGGTTGAGAGACAGCCCGTGGAAGTGAAAAATGCTGTAAGAAACCTTACTATGCTGGTGGCAGTATATAACAAGTCTTTATTTTAAAAGTTGAGTGCTCACATTTAAGACAAAATAGAGACAAAAATAATGCACACATCATTTTTAGGACACTCGGAGAAATGCATTCACCTCACTCAGTTTCAGATTACACCACAGTTATGATACCCTTAGCAGCCCAATAAGTTAGGAGGCAGGTATCTCTGGGATATTGCACTGTTCAATAAGCTAGAACAACAATTCCTCTTGTTGGAACAATGAACCATTGCCAGGACAGACCACATCATAAGAGCCTTGAACAGCTTAATACTTTCATCAGCAAACCTGGCCCATAGGTAACTGGATTTCAAGTATATTAAGTATTCCACAGCTCCAGCTAAAAGTCAAATAATTTTACATTGCAATTAGAGTTTAAGATGGCCAACCCAAAGATTTGCATTCCAATTGCCATTGGATTCCAAGACCTGCTTTTCCTATTGTAAGCATTACAGTAGTCACAGTACAAGACTCCTCTTGTTGATCCCATGAGGTTACCCCTGCTAACACTATGTTCTGGATGGGGCAGCAACATCACTCTTTCTGCTGTTGGGCATCTTTGTAGAGTTTGCTGTAATCCAGGGATGAAGAAGTACATCCTTCAGGGGCAGTCGATGGAATGGGTTATGTTTCAGAAGCTTTGAAATTAAATCCCTCGCACCTTCTGTTACCAATGGAGGAAACTTGAATTCCACCTAAGGCAAAGAAAGGACACTAAAGATGATGCAAAAGTTCTTTGGCAATAACCAAACTACAGAGACAAAGGGCTCTACCCTCCAAGGCACATCTAGAAAGGAAAGCTGTGTCAGCTTTGTGGGCTATGCACCTTATGCCTATTGGGATGAGATTAAGTAATTTTATCATGATCCTGATGAAAACAAGGTTATCGCTACTTGTAGAGGTTAAGCTAGTGTATTTTTCAGTGTACTTCAAACAAGATTAGTTTGCTGGAACCTTTCCAGGGTGTGCAACAGGAAAAGTTAAGCTTATGTATTTTTAGTAACACCTTGAATGTTAAATATTCATTTTATAAAATTAGAAAAGGAAAGATGTGGAGAAGATTAGTTGCTTTATGAAAGAGGTAGAAGTTCAGAAGCAGGTAGAAACAGGGTAGAGCCTAAAAAGTAAGGCAAGGTATCTTAAAGTCTCTTATAGTCATTCTACTAAATGACTGAAGACAGCTTTAGGGATCTAGTTTTATGCATATCATTATGTCTTGCTACAGTTCTAGTTATAATACATGCCCTTCAAGATGACCATTTGTTAAGCTTCAATAAGACAATAGAACTGAAAGGCAGCACAATTCAGCTAGTCCAAATAAGTGTTGGCACATACCCTGGAAATAGCTCTGTAGGTTTCCTGGTATGTTTCTGCTTCAAAAGGTGGTTTCCCTACCAGGAATTCATAGCATAGAACTCCCAGGCTCCAAATATCCACCTTCTCATCATGTGTTCTTCCTTCAATCATTTCAGGAGGCAGGTAGTCAAGTGTCCCACAGAGAGTTGTTCTCCTGAAGAAAAGTTTAAGTTAATTATTTACTGATTATGGCAATTATAAGATCCATTTCAAGAGCTAGATAGAAGATAATTGTGGCAATCATCTGTACCTCAGTGCAGTCTACCCTGGATAGACTCAGCACCACCAGAATACCTGGTAAAGAAGTTCCAGCAGTAAGTTTTCTACTTTGGCTTTAAAGCATCTCAGTCACTGCATTCAGTCTTACCCTTCCTTTTTTCATCCCACTTGCTAGATCAAATATAGCCTTCCTTTGTCAGGTGCAATTCAAACTAATTAAGGAAACATCTTAAGTATATTGCTAGTGTGATGTTTGAATACAAGTGCTGCTCTGTCATCTCAGGGACCACTGTAACCCTACAACAGTACACCAACCTTCTTCACTTGTTTCAGGTTCAGCAAGTTTTGAACTATACAAGTTGAAAAAACAGGATCATAAGACTCCTTCTCTGCTACACCAGTTGACTGTTAAGACCTTTGCTCCAGTGGCCCAGTTCTTAAAAGGACTTTTTCCCAGTATTTTAGGAAGTTCACATTTACCTCCATTCCACAACTGTAAGTGTGACAAGAAAGCTAACACTTTCACTACGGGAGTATTTCCCTGCATAAGATACATATTGCGTTCTCACCTAGACGATGGAGCATGCACAGACCATCCAAAGTCAGCAATTTTTAATTCTCCATTTGAGCCAAGCAGCAAGTTTTCTGGCTTGATGTCTCTGTGAATCACACTCTTTGAATGACAGTATGATAGGGCATCTGCTAGTTCTGTGATGTACTGTATTCAGAAAGAGAACAAATCTTTAAAGTATAAAGACATCATCACTCTAGCTTATCTGGCTACAGTATAGCCTTTTCTAGGCATAATTAGTAGTTTAAGTTAGAGCAATTATCCCTTGAACCCTTGAAGTCTGGCAATACAGGCTCTGCCTGAAGTGACCAAGCACTTGCAATATTAAGCAATGCAGAACATTGTTATATTAGTGCTGTGCAAGTCTTCCCAACTTATTCCTTGTTACAAGTGCACAAGCAAACTAGCATCTGAGGAATCTCAGTTTCACACAACAGAATGCAGAACTTTATCTGAAGATCTAGCTTTATGCTGCAGATATTCCAGATATGAAGACCGAGTAATGTATAAGAAGCTAGAACAACCTACAGTAGCAGTTCTTTGCTCATCAAACTTGGTAAGCTTCTGAAGTTCTTTGTAGACTTCTCCACGAGGTGCATACTCCAGAATAAGGTAGACTCTTGTAACATCATGGAAGTAGCCATATAATCTGAGAATGTTGGGGTGCCTGCAAAAAGGTTTAAATATTCTTCTGAACAAGGTATTTGTCCATATAACTTTAATTTCCCTTTCCTGCCTCCCCCCCTTTCAAGGCAAGCCTAGGAACTTCAACATCTTGTAAGCATTCCTTCAGCTCACAACATATCCATTAAGAGAGCTTCATAGCAGATAGATGGTATTTATCAAAGCAGCAGTTTAGACTCCCTACTAGCAAGCAGCTAGCCAAGAGTTTCACTAATTCATATCTTCTTGAACATACCTTTCTACAGCAACTGGAAGAGTAGATTACCATTGAAGGTGCCAATTCCTATGGGTTTTGGAATTTAAGCTGAAACACTTCAAACACTTTCTGTGAAACAACTAATTTCTTCAACAAGTTGGGCTTATTTTCCAGGAAATACCAGAAACAAGCTCTGACTCTTGAGAAATTGCAGTTACCCACATAAATTCAAGCAACAGACAGGGGAGGGGGGGTTGTAGTAGAAAGATTTGTTACCAGAGGTAACTTCACTGCAAGCTAGACAAAGGTAAATCTTGGTGCAGAAAGGCAAGAATCCTAACTAGTAATTGCAAGGTGTCACATGTTTAAAAAGAAACTTCTCTTTTCTTCAACAGAGTATGTTATCATGAACAAGGTCACTTTGTTTATTTGAACTCAAACGAAGCAAAGAGGGTAACCGGTCACTAAACTTTACCTAAGATGAGACTGTATTTCAACTTCTCTTCGTAGTTGATGTTCTACACCGGCTTCCTCAAGTTGTGTTTTAAAGAGCACTTTCAGTGCAAGAATAAATTTACTCTGCTTTTCACGTGCCAGGTACACATTTCCAAATTTTCCTTTCCCCAGAGGACGACCAATTTCAAAATCATCAAGAGACCATTGCCTTCTGCAAGAGGAAAGATAGTTATAAAAGCTAGATACTTGTGTGGGATTTGACTCCTAGTTTTACAACCGATAATTCCTGTTCAATAGGCACTTAGTGATCTAAGCTAGATTTTAGTCTTTAAGAGAACACCACCAAGAGGATAAAGTACACATTGAGACTTTTCAAAAGAAAGTTCTGAAAGTCTCTTCCTTCCTAAAACTTACACACAGAGATACTAACATCAACCACACTACTACAAAGTCAAAACTGTGTATACCAAGCCAGGCTCATTTCAATACACTTAATACAGATGTACCTACTAGTGCCTGTCAGAACAGCACTGTTTAAGGTAGCCATACTACAAATCTAACTTCATCCTTAGACTCCAGCCTCTCACACATATGAAGGCGGCTTTGTTTTCAAGTGTACATCTTGTGATTGGAGCAATGGCTATCAGTGTTCTCTCATGGGAAGACCTATTACTCATTTAGCCAGAAGTTTTCTTTAGATTACAGGAAGTCCTTGTTCCTGAGAATTATCAGGTCAAAGTAAACTTTCCTAGAGTTTCATATGTTGTCCCTGTGAAGTGTAGGACCACTGGTCTCCACAACCAAGAGGCTCAAGTAGCCTTCATTTTAGCTGAAACATGAAGTCCTAGAAGTTAAAAACAAGCGTAATCCAACAGGACTCAGTTAGCTACAACAATTTACACATGAAACTTACTTTTTAGTCTCTTCACTTTTCTTTTTAGCAGTCTCTTCGTTTTTCTGTTTAGAGGTGCTTTCTGCTTCAGAATTTTTTGCTACGTATAGAGAAGTAGATCAACTTTATGAACCAGACCCATGAACACAATACAAAAATTCACATCGGAGCAAATCTAACTTCTGTGCAGTATCTGCAACAGTTCTTAGAACACATTCAATGACATTTTAAACAACCTAGTGTAGCTTACTATTGGCAAAGCAGCATAGCAGTTATCAGTGCTATCAAAATGTAATTTTAAAAGCTTTCTTAAAATAAAAAAATTAAGCTTCCCCCGAAAAAACACAGTATTCTTGTGTATAAGAGATTGACATGAATACTGGAGAAACTGTGATGTACAAGTGCCAATTACATTCATTCACAGCTGACTAGTGAGCATCTGGAAATTTTTCAACACCCATATTGGCTCTAAATGAGTAATCCTGGCAACAAGGATAGTGCAGTAACATCTAAGCTGCAGTGTGTGCTGCTGTTCTGTTTCTGGGCACAACTAAGTACTTCTCCACAGGACTGTCTCACATCATCAACATCAGCTTTAGGTTTTCTGCACTGCACTCTGCTTCACAGAATAGGAGCATCCCAAGTGTCACAACTGTGTAAATACATGTACATCATCTTCAGAATTACCAGGTATTGGAGCCTGTTGATGTTTTTCATTGCTCTTGCTTGGAACCTGAGGCCTAGCAGTTGGTTGGACCAGAAACTTTGGTCGGGGCTGCTGCGTTATCTGGTTATTAGACAGTTTTTGGTTTGACAGTACAGATTTTTGTGATTGTACAGGAACTCGCTGGGCAAAGTTTGAAGGACACAGAACACGTTGTGCTTGAACTCCACTGTTCAGTAACCGGCTCTGGGAAGAATGCTGAGACACAGGGACACGTTTCGGGCCATCCCCAATGGGATTAGTAGTCTTCAAAAAGAAAAATTGTATATTAATTGTAGAATAGTATACTATAACCTTTACGGCCGCATTCAGTAGAGCAGAAAAAAACACGAAGTACATTAAGAGGAGATGTTATGGTATTCTGATCTTATGTTTTAAGAATGAAAACAATTCTTAAATTTCTACATTGTAGAAAACTGCTAACTACGTCTTGTCAACAGCATGCTTCTTTATAGCTAGCAGAAGAACTTTTCCACACACATCTATAGAATATCAGCCACAGGTGTTAAGACAGCAGACCCTTACTATGAAAACATACACTACTTTGCATCATTGCTCCCTTTAGTGCTCTTCATCTTGATATACCTTGCACTGCAACGGGAGTTCAGCAGAACAATGCAAGTTTATTTAGTAAGGTTCAGCTATCTGCTTTTAATCTTTTGCTTCCAGTAAGGGAAGATAGTTTAGGCTGATATTTAAGAAATTAGTTGTTTTATGATAGTCTGCCTACAATTAAGTTCAAATGCTAATGATTAGCTTCTCACCTTTTTTTTTTGCCCTCTAATGATACCTATGCAACAATTCTTTCTTCCCCTAGATATTATTTAGTCTTGTGGTTCAGTTCACTGAAAATAATGTACCAACAGCTTGATTAAATAGAAGTTTTGCTTATGCTATTCTGAAACCTTACCAAGACCTCTTTGTTTTTAAGTTAAAATAATGAGAAAGTGTCTGTGTTTCTATATACAAAAATATGTAATCAGGGTGATCTTGAGTACTCCTGCACAGGCATGAGAATAGTGACGTTAACACAATGCTTGCTTTTGGAAACCATATCTGGAATAAGTTGCCTACACATGTTTGCTCTCTCTTTAAGTGATCTTAGATTACACTTAAAATATTAGGAGGATTTTCCAATTCAAGTATGAAATACCAATATTAGCAATTAAAAGAAATAAGCCTTGGGCACTTGTTCTCTCCAAGAAAAAGCTGCTGAAAGATAAAGTTGGCAATTTTTTCCTGGGCACAGAAAACATTGTTTCCAGACAATTTCTCCCCTTTTTGTTACTTAGTACAGTTAACAGGAATTACCACAGACAGTTTGAAGCCTGTAGCTATTGTGTGATCAGGAGGAATACACCCACCAATCTCATAAGTCACTTACTTTCGTACCACGACTGGGGTATCCAGAATGGTTCTCTTTCGTATTCTTGTCCATAGTGCCTGAGGAGAAGAGCCGCATATAACTTAGCCTACGGAGGAGACGTAGAGAACAGGGGTCACTTTCACAGAAAACACTACGTCTTGGAGCTCTTCTTCAAGACGTGGGTCGCCCCCCCGCCTTCGAACGCCGGGAGGCCCCGAGGCAGGGCCGGGCCTTGCCGCAGCACACCGCCCTACACGCCTGCCCGGCGACCACCAGCCTGCGCCCACAGTCT